TTATTTAACACAAATTCGCTTATTTTCTAAAGGGCGCTGATGCACACCCGGTACTAGATACTAGATTGAAGCAATATCAAACCTACCTTTAAATAAGGAATCGAGCAGATTCGTACATGTCGCACTGCTCCGGTGACAGTTTGCAGGCACGGCTAGCATAATTTACGTTTGGTGGAGTCCTCGAGTTTATCCTCTTGGTAAACCATTCTGGCTCTTCATTTGCTGTTGCTGGATTTATTAAGCTGTCAATCTTTACTAAATAATCCGTGTTATTTTCATGTAATGGATCTGATTGATTATCTACGTTTGAGGTTTCGATGTTGCACTTTCACTGCCCTTCAGCAGACTGGAAGTGGAAGTGTTCTCTCTCTAGCAAAGAATGTCTCCTCGGTTCCAATCTTGAGACCTTGTGAAGGTAAAACCTTGATAGAAATTATGTTGTTGAATAACGCGAGTAGAGTTTTTCTTTAATAAAGAAAGTATTAATTATATTTCGGACAAATCGAACTCGGTTTCAGATCATTGGTGCATTTCCGAAGTATTCCATTAAAGCATCTCATCCAGAAATGAGTTGAGAACCAATAAATATGTATATTTTTCTTCAAATAGATCGTTTCACTTCTCGTAAAAGTAGAATTTTAAATAGAGAAGGCTATAAAAACGGATTATTCAAATGATTCAGTCCCGAAAACCTTGGCAGTAACCGTAAAAATAAACTGACAAATTATCAGTTTAATCTGTAGGGTAATTTCGGAGTTCACCGGAAACGAACAGATAGACAAATGCCTATAGACTAGAGTTGGTTCGCGACTTCTTTCACAAGAATTATATTACGCATATAAAACTAATAAATACGATTTTTCCAAAACTCATTTCTCTGAAGAACAAATCTCCCCCCTATCGATGTTTGGCAATGCGCTCTCTGCATCAATTTTTATACAAATCAAGCGCTGAATACTAATTTTTTGAGTAGAACAGTTCGTAGACAAAAAGAGTGCCTCATATAAGGAGCCACAACTGCATAAACTCTGTGGTTTCGCATAGATCTGTCCCAGGTGCACTTTCTAGAAGAAATAAAACGAGGCTTTTGTAAGGAACAAATAAATTATATTGTTTCGAATAGATCGTTCTCAAGTCTACTTCCCAGAAAATCCTTTCTTATCGGTTTACTGGCATCGTTCGCTTAACACATCCTCTAAGTTTCAGGTCTCTACGATCGTAGTTGTGGGTTGATTTGTCATACATTCAGGACGAAGCCTTTTATATATCGGCAGTCGCGGTAGCCGAGTGGTTAGCATTGCGTACTGTCATTCGGAAGACTCGTGTTCAAGTCCTAATGTCCTACCAACAACCAAAAAATTATAAAAAAAAAAATTTATTTTAAATAAAAAATTAAATTAAATTTTCTCATTACGGTCACCCTTTGGCAGGGCATGTCAACCCTTCTGAGTGTATTTCTGACATGAAATAAAGGGTCCTCATTAAAAAAAAAAACATTAGCAGTTCGGGATCGGCTTATATATATATATATAAACTTTAAACCCCTCCATTTTGTTGGATAAACAGCAAGACGCAAAACCACAAATTGGAGGAGGAGCTCGGCAAAAATCGCTTCAGCGATTACAAAGCGCCAATTATATATATACTTGTATATAAATTGTTATTATTGTATTATTAATAATTTTTTAAAAATGACGAGATTTTGTTTTCACTTTAGGTTTATGTCTCGAAATTCACTAAATACATTGAAATGGTACGGCCAACAGTTAAAGACTCCACAAACTAAGTATTTTAATGTGAGCCTAATGATATACAAGTTTATATAAATAAATATAAATAAAAAATACAAAACAAAAAACGATGAAATTGAATACAAACGTACACACATACATACCAAAGAACTAATAATTACATATTAAAATAGTCTATATAAATTTCAATTATTATATAATAAACACAAACTCGTACTGTGAAAAATTATGTACTCAAAAATGGTGAATTATAGCCACATATACATACATACATACATAAATAAATAAATAAATAAACAAATTGAAATTATTACTTTCGAAACTATAAACAAATTTGAGCATTTCTTTGTAGAGGAAAGGGTGGACCTGCTCATTCAGAGGTGGCCTTTACTTACTTACTTTACTGGCGTAAAGACCGCCTACGCGATTATATCCGAGTTAACAGCAGAGAGCCATTCGTTTCTTCTTTTTGCTGTTTGGCGACAATTAGAAATACGAACTACAGCCAGGTCCTTCTCTACCTGGTCTTTGCAGCAGAGTTGAGGTCTTCCTTTTCCTCTGCTTCCACTACCGGGGACTGCATCGAATACTTTCAAAGCTGGAGTATTCGCATCCATACGGACCACATGATCTAGCCAGCGTGATTGCTGCTTCTTGATTCGCTAAACTATATCAATGTCGCCGTATAACTCGTACATCTCAATGTTCAATCCATATTTGCCGTTGCCAAAGCGCAAAGGACCATAAATCTTACGCAAAATCTTTCTCTCGAAAACTCCTAAAGCCGTCTCATCAGATATTGTCATCGTTTATGCTTCCGCACTATATAACAGGAAGAAACGATGAGCGGTTTGTAGTTTAGTTTTCTTTCGTCGGAAGAGGACTTTTCAATTGCCTGCTCAGTCCTCACTCCGAGTCGTGAATGCGTTGACTGTTTGTAGCAGGTATTTCGTTCTGCCCTCATTCACTACCAGACCCATTAGCCTAGCTCCTTTAATAAGTCTAGAGAAAGCAGAACACACGGTGCGGTTGTTGAGGCCGCACGATAAAGAGGCACTCTGTCTGAAACCTCGTTTGGTGTCGAACGGCACGGATAGGTACATCCCGATCCTGACGAAACTTTTGGTGTTGTCTAGCGTCAGTTTACACTGCCGTATAAGTTTTGTTTGAAAATCTGGTCAATGGCGATAGTTGGCGCAGACCGTGGGGTCCACATTTTTATGCATTGGGCAGAGCAGACTTTGGTTCCAATCGTCGGGCGTGCTTTCATCCCACCAAATTCTGCAAAGTAGCTGTTGCATGCACCTTGTCACCTCTTCACCGCCATGTTTGAATAGTTCTGCCGGTATACCATCAGCTCCCGCCGCTTTGTTGTTTTTTAGACGGGCGATGCTATTTGATCTTCTTCATGGTCAGATAATGGAACGTTTTTTTCATCGTCATCGATTGAGGTTTCGGGCTCACCATCTCCGGATACTCCATTTTCACTGCTATTCAGCAGACTGAAGAAGTGTTAAGTGGTGGCCTTTACTCATTTAAAAAGATTCTGCGACCCACTACCATGCCTCATTCAATCGGCATCACAATAAGGTAGATTGCCTCAGATAAATTCTCCACTAGAACCCTCAAGCCCAGCTCGATATACAGAAGGATGGAGAACAAAATGGACCACATACCCTGAGGCTTTATCAGGGAAAGAAGTTTTCAAGCTAAGTTCAAGGAAGGCGGAAGCTGCACTTACATATAACATATACGCCAATGGATCATATATGGCTGATGGAGTTGACCCCAGTGTCTATTGCGCTGAGCTAAATCCCAGGCAACCTTTCAAGCGAAGCAGAAAACTATATACTAGAATATCAATATGTACGTATGTCGACAGCCAGTCGGTAATTTATGCAATAGTTTCTAAAGGAAACACCCATTTTTTGCTTACCCGTGACGAGCCGCAATCTACCAGTTTCCCATGCAAGCAGAATGGGTTTTAGTAGCCATGGCACATGCAAGAAATGCAGGTTGGAAGGACGTTAGTGCACCTATTATATTTCTTTTCCCGTTTTAGATAACTAGGATCTTCGTAGTACAAAGGACTAGAGTGGGCTTCAACAATTGAGTCACTATCCCAACTCACCACCGCTACGGGAACTCCCCAACTCGACCTGTCCGGAGTGTCTCTTGCCTATGAAATCCTCACAAACTCCAACTTATCAACATTGGATACAAAAAGCAAACGAGGATTGCAGGAAATTCTTCAAACAAAACTAATTTTTGTAGAGGAAATCGTAACAAGGATTGACCTATATTTGTTCAAAAATGTAGCTGGCTTACTGTTAGTCAATGGGGAGTGTTATAGAGTTATGTTTAATCACTTTTTCGTTGATGTAGACGACCTTTGGTTCCAACAAGACGGCACTACATGCCATACTCTATGGAAAGCTATCAAAAACCTTAACCCGCCCGTAAGCACAGAAATACCGCTGAGGCTGTGTAACGGTTCATGGGTCAACACCCTAGTAGAGTATTTCACCAAACGATACTGCTCCAAGATACACTGTTACTTCCGGAGCATCTATGTCTGAACACAAAAAAATTTTATTACCACCTTCAGTCCTAAAAAATCTCTAGGACACTGTAAAAATTGCCCAGCATTGCTCTCAATTTTCTATTAAGCTTTTCAAGTACACATTAAAGCTAGGAGATTATATATTATATAAACCAGTTGAGGGCATAGCCCTGCCGGCAGCATATAGGCCAAGCAGTCTGTTACCTTGCATATCCAAACTTTTCGAAAAAGTGCTGCTATCAAAAATTAATACTGTGCTCTTCTCCAGGAAAATGATATACATATATAATTACGACCTACCAATTTGGTTTTAGCGAAAAACATTGCCCAATTGAGCAAGTAAATCGTGTAACAAATGAAATAAGAAAAGCTTTCGGATTCAGAGAGTTTTGCGTGGCAGATTTACTTGATGTGGCGCAAGTATTTGAATTTTTAAAACAAGCTTTTCGAAAAAGGGCTGCTCAACTTTTGCGGTCAAAATTCTGTATTGACTTCAAAAATTGGCTCAACTATATATGTTGCAAAAAGCGTTTTCATCACACCATAACAACTGACCGAATGTCGGTATAGCAGTGCATGTCAAAGTCAGAGAACGTATATGTTATACGTTTTCTGTCAAAGTCTGCTGTCAAATAATTGGATAATTTTAAAACAGAGAACGTAAATACAACGTTTACGTTCTCTGTTTAAAATTTAAATAAATCTAGTTATAAAATGAAATTTGAAAATGAAGAGGAGTAGAAAAATTAATATAGCCACTGCGGTGCTTTGTTTAGTGAATACCTTAAAAGCATGGAAAAATAAGAGAACTCATCAAAGGAAACGAAAGCTGTGGTGGATTAGACCAGGTTAAAGGAATACTTCCACCTCTGGATTTTATGCCACACTCCGTTCCAAGTTGATTTCTCAGGACCCAAAGTGGTCGAAACATTTTCTAAGAATGAGTGTGGAAGACTTCGATATTTCACTCGAGCATGTAACTATAACATATACAAAAAATATACCTGTTTCCGTGAAGCAATTTTAGTCGGCGAAAGACTTGCCGTAACATTGAGATATTTAGCCACTGGCGAAAGCTTCTCTAGCCTGATGACTGTTTTCCTATTGGGGAAAACAACCATCTACCATATAATACATGAAACTTGTGGTGCTATTTTTAAAGCTCTAGAAGATGAATTTTCAAAAGTGAGTATTCTTTGAATTTTCGTACAAAAAAAGTAAAGTGCATATTAACCAGGTTCCGAGCACTTATGAGGAATGGACACAAGTAGCGGACCGATTTTACTAGCGATGTAATTTCCCTAATTGCTGGGGAGCATTAGATGGGAAACACATAGCGCTTCAGGCGCCTGCAAACAACGTCGTTCTGATGGATATGGTTGATGCCGAAAACAAATTTTTGTTTGTGGAAGTTGCAGCATACGATTGTGAATCTAGTGGCGACTTTTTCACAACGAAAAATTGTTACAAGACAATAAAATTTAATTTCATTAATTACAATATATTTTTATTTTAAAACATTCAGTTGCCCTCTTTCAACGACTTTGGCAGAAAACTCTTTAAATATTCCGCCTCGGAGGCCACTTCCACACGAAAGTGGCGAAATGCGATCTTTTCCCTTGAAAACGTACCTTATGAAACCATTCATAGTCATATCATACAAAATATTTAATTATAGATTGTCACGAGCACGAAATGTGGTGGAAAATGTGTTCGGCATATGCGCATCTTGTTTCCGAATTCTCAAAAGACCAATGGATGTGACTCCCGAACATGACAATGACGCGAATAGCATTACTACTCCAGGTAATTAGCGAATAGAGTTAGGGGAAACTGGAACGCTCCCATCAGTTCGATCAAGCAGCGTTTTAGAAAGGTCAACAAACAACGCAATAAATGTCCGTGAACGCTTTATGGAGTACTTTATGACTTATGACGATACTGAACTCGTCTAATGAGGAACATGAAAAAAAATAATAAAATATTAAATATTTATTTATTTAATTATAAATGTACATATCAAAAACAATAAAAAAAAGTTTTATTTTTCTATATTTAATTAAATTATCGTCTACATGTATTTTGTACTTTTTGATTTGCATTGGCATTTTAAGAGTGTTAATAAGAAAAGAAAATATGACTCATTCTATATTATAGTCTTTACTTAAATATCAATATTATTATTTATGTATGGACATATGACAGCATTATGATGTGCTGAAAAATAAAACAAACAAAAAATTAAGAAATTTAATTATAGACAAATACAAGCAAATGTGCTAGAGCTCTTCCCGTATGAATTTCTTATGATACTTTAACACCAATTCGTACAACTCCGTCTTAAAATCCCACGCCAGTTGTGGAGTTTCTTGTGCCCATTCTTGTCCACTAAATGCCACAAAGCTGCCCAAGTCGTTCCAAGCATCAGTTTTAGTGGATGTACTCAGTGTCTTCAACGCCAGTTCAACAATTTCGGCATACCCATCGGCATATTTTTGAAGTCGACGTTTTGGTGCACTTTCTTGTGATGTGGATGGCAGTGTTTGTATTTCTTCAAAAGAGTCGACATTACTTTCTGGGACATTCAGCAGGGGAGGAGGTGTCAGCGTCGACTGTGTGTTCTACAATAACGAATATACACGTGAAAATCAACGCCTTATAATTCGAATTTCTATGTATGTATATATGTAAGTATGTAAATATGTATGTAAGTATATATATATGTATGTAAGTATGTAAATATGTATGTAATTATATATATATATGTATGTAAGTATGTATATACGTATGTAAGTATGTATATATGTATGTAAGTATGTATATATGTATGTAAGTATGCATATATGTATGTAAGTATGCATATATGTATGTAAGTATGTATATATGTATGTAAGTTATATATATATATGTATGTAAGTATGTATATATGTATGTAAGTATGCATATATGTATGTAAGTATGCATATATGTATGTAAGTATGTATATATGTATGTAAGTATGCATATATGTATGTAAGTATGCATATATGTATGTATGTATATATATATACATACGTTACATGAATACGAAGTGGCATTCTCTGCAATATTTAAAGTGGGCTCCAAGAACTTCAACGAATTGTAGATCGAGTTCATCGCAGGAGCTTTTCCAGCATTTTTCATGTATGCTTTTCTGTTGAAAGCCGCCTAAAAGAAATATTTATGTATGCATTTAGTAATATTTCCTTTTCTTTAGTTCACAAGTATGTACTTACGCGGAAAGAGGACCGAAGGCTGTTCCATTTGGCAGACACTTCGGATGGCGGCATCTTCAAAATATCTGCCACATCCTGCCATTGGGCTTTTCGAATTTTCCGATTTCGGTATTCTGTGGACAGGATATTCCACGTCCCCTCCCTCAATTCGATTTCCTGGATCAGCCTCATTGTGTCCTCTGCAGACCACTTCTCTTGCATTTTTCGTTCACGCTTCTTTGTACCGTTTCGAGTGTTTTCTCTAATTTCCTCCATATTATCAACTAAATAACAAACATATTAGAAAAAATTGTAAATTGCATTTTATAAAATGTTAAAATATAAAAACGTTACCTTTAAAACTGTTTATACTCCCCGTTTTTTAATATACATATGTATGTACATATGTAAACAAAAACAATTTGCCAAAATGTTGCCAAATGAAATTTGTATGTCAAACGCTGCCACATCGGTGCGCACATCGAATTTTGCTGACATTTTGTGACAAATATGACATATGAAAACCCGCCATAAAAATCGACATATATGTCTTACTACGGGCACAAAACCAGAGAACGTTATATACATTACACGTTCTCTGCCCAAACTAATTGAAGAATGGCGGCAAAATGAAAATAAGTGCAAAAACAACACTTTTAAAAAATTAAGGCCACAAACGTGTCCTGTCGTGAAGCAGATAAACTTTGAAGCAACATATTTCTGCCAAAAAGATGCAGCTAAAGCTGAAAATTTCCTGTTTATATTGGTTTTAAGCAAGAAAACTGGTGTCGGCCTTGCAAACAAAGTCCTTCTTTATAATGCGACTATAAAACCACTATGGATGTATGAAATCCAATTATGAGATACAGCTTGCTCGACCAATCTAAATAGAATACAGAGATTTCAGTCGAAAGCATTAAGAATAATAAAATGGTCAACAATTGTATACCTTCTACTTTAATGGCGTTGGCACCGCTTATGCGATAATAGCCGAATCAATATTAGCACGCCATTCAACCCTTCTTTTCACTGCTTGGGGCCAATTGGAGACACCAAGTAAAACCGGGTCACTCTCCACCTGGTGCCTTCAACGGAGTAGAGGTCTTCCTCTTCCTCTGCTTAGAAGAGCGCGCACTGCATCTAATACTTTCAAAGCTGTAGTGCTTTTATTCATTCGGACGACATGACCTAGCCGGCGTAGACGCTGTTTCTTGGTTCGCTGATCTATATCAATGCCGCGGTATAACTCGTGCAGCCGTTGCCAATGGGCAAAGGACCATAAATCGTTCGCAATACTTTTCTCTCGAAGACTCTCAAAGCCAACTCATCTGCTGTTGACATCGTCTACGCCTCTGCGACATATAGTAGGACCGGTAAGATGAGCGACTTGCAGAGTTTGGTGTTCGTTCGCTGAGAGAGGACTTTACTTTTCAATTGCCTACTCAGTCCAAAGTAGCACCTGTTGGCAAGAGTGATTCTGCGTTGAATTTCAAGGCTGACATTATTGTTGGTGTTGATGCCGGTTCCGAGGTAGACGAAATTATCTACGACCTCGAAATTATGACTGTCAACAGTGACGTTTGAACCGAGTCGCGAATGCGATGACTGTTTGTTTAATGACAGGAGATATTTGGCCTTGTCCTCATTCACTACCAGACCCATTCGCTACGCTTCTTTATAAAGTCTAGAGAAAGCAGAACCCACGGCGCGGTTATCACTAATCAATATCACTGTACACTCTTAACACTCTACGCTGTACACTTTTATAGAATATTGTATCTTCTCTACACATCGATAAGGAGTCATTTTGTCTGAAAGCTCGTTTGGTGTCGAAGGGCTGAGAGAGGTCCTTCCCAATTCTGACTGCGCTACTGGTGTTATCTAGCGTCAGCTTACACAGCATTATATGTTTTGCGGGGATACCAAATGTAGACATAACGGGGTAGAGACAGCTTCTTTTTGTGCTTTCGAAGGCGGCTTTAAAATCGACGAAGAGGTGGTGTGTGGATTCTCTTTTCACGGGAATTTTTCAAGATGGTATGGTAAATATCTGGTCAATGATTGACTTACCAGGTCTAAAGCCACACTGATAGGGCCCAATCAGTTTACTGACGGTGGGTTTTAGCATTCCACACATATCGCCTTATCGGCGATATTAAGTAGGCTTACCCCACGGTAATCGGCGCAGACAGTGTGGTCCACTTTTTTATGCATTGTGCAGAGCACACTTAGGTTCCAATCGCCGGACATGATTTCATCCGACCATAGCCTGCAAAGTAGCTGCTGCATGCACCTTGTCAGCTTTTCACCGCCATATTTGAATAACGCTGCCAGTAGCTCGTCAGCTTCAGCGGCTTTGTTGTTTTTCAAGCGGGCTATTGTCATACAAACTTTTTTCTGATCAGGTTATAGAACGTCTTTTCCATCATCATCAATTGGAGTTTCGGATTCATTGTCTCCGGATATTTCATTTTCACTGACATTCAACAGGCTGGAGAAGTGTTCCCTATGGGTCCGACAAGAGTTTGCTCCGGTCTTGTAACCTTCCGTATGTCGCCGTGTTTTTTCGTAGAATTTTCGATCATTACCCTTATCGGCCAGCTTCTCAAGCTCCTCATAATCACGCATAACGGCCTCTGAGGCACCTCGAGAGAAGGGAATTACTAACCTTGTAAAGAGCAACACTGAGCCAGCAGCCTATTTCTAGCCAATCGATTATTACATTTTAATACACTTTTTAAGATTTGATAAGAAGCAGATTAGGGAAAGAATGCGAATGTTAAACAAAAAAAAAATACAGCAAAAGAAGCAGCCAATTTGTTGAAGGAAACTTTTGGAGAGCGCAATTTAACAACAAAAATACAAAAATAAAAACCAACATTTTTTTTTTGTAATATTTCTCATTTTATTATTTATTTCTTAGAATTTAAATTGATTTCTCATCTACACACACATACATACTTGTATAAGTATGTAATTTTTTTTTCACTTGCTAACTGATGCATACATAATTTTGCTGTATATAAATATAATAGTTACAATTATATATCAATAATGTTGTATTTTTTTTGAGTAGTTAATATTATATAAAGTAATTATAATGACATATGTATGCATCTATATATGTATAATATGTATGCAATTACAAGCAGCCAACGCTTAAATAGCAGAGTGAGTAACTATGTATGTGTTTATGTAGTTTATATGGTACATAATTATGCATATATATGTATATATATATATATATGTGAATATTGTATGTATATATTACATAGCTAAGTATACTTGCAGTATTTTTTAGGATACATATTTGATAATACATAATTACAATAATAATAATAATAATAATAATTACAAGCATCATAAATTTTTTATTTCTTTCTCACTTTAGTCGTTAATAACATTTTCATTATACATTCTACATATTATAAAGAAATAATAAAAATATATATATGTATATGTATTTGTATAGTCACGCACACAAGATAGCAATTTTATACAATTTTAGTGTTTTCACATTTATTTAATTGAATTTTTTTTTACTTACTTTTTAAACAACATACACATACATATGTACGTGTGTGCATACATTTTTTTGTTTACATTTAAATTAACATTTTCTGGCGATTAATTAAAAAAAAAAAATTACAAAAAAAATCCAATTGGAACAGTTGAAAGAGAAAAAAATCTATCTTACATAGAATCCACTTAAATATTAAAGAGGAAATAATTTAATTTTATATTTAAGACATTTTAATAATATTTTAATATTTTGTTTACATCAACATAATTTACAAAAATTTTACAAATGCGCACATTTTGCACCATTTTCATATTGATTATTTAATAACTAATAAATAATAATAATAAAAATATTAATTTTTTTATTAAATAAATTTTAAATTTTAATACAAATATTTTACATGAGTTTGACTTAAAAAAAAATTAAACAATATTATTTATTTATTTAATATATGCATATTAAAATGCTTGCATTTAATATGTTTACATATGTACGTAGAAAAAATATTTATTATTTATAATACGGAAGATTTAATATGATATTTATTTAACATAATTAAATTTTATTTTTAATTTATTGCTTTTTAATTTACACACCGCGTTGCTTAGTTGAAATGATAAATTAATATTTTAACATTTTAACAAATAAATATAGTTATTTATATGTTACTAATATGTGTTCATTCATTTTTTTTTTATTAATTTAATTTTTAATTTTTAATTTTAATTTTAATTTTAATTTAATTTTCTTCAAAAATACTAAATTGACATAAATGTTAGAAAATATAAAACTAAAATATTTGCATATTTCTTGTTTTTTCTTTTTTTATTTATTTAATTTTTCTTTTTTTATTATTTACCATTCATTTACATACACATAACTACCAAACTAAAGTTTTATAATAAGAAAATTTGCAAACGCGCAGCCAAAACTCTAAGGAATTTCACAAATATATGCTCCCCTTTTTTTTAAGACTAGTTTAGTTTAATTCTTTATTCTTGGATGTTTTTTCTGCTAAATATTCGTTATATATATATATATATATATATATATATAAAAATTTAGTATGCCTGTAGAAATAGGTTTAGTTAAAAAAAAAATTTAAATTAAAAATCACGCGTATTTAAACAATTTAGAGATATTATTTTTTCGCTCATACTCATAATTGCGTATTTCTAAGTTGTGTCTCTTCTCAAGTAAGTGTTTCAAAGCAACTCATATCATTATATTCAACTCAGTGTTCTATGCAATGAGTTTTTCGTAATTTTTAAATATTTGTTTTTAGTACAAAATGCTATAAATTTCTCTCTCTCTCTCTCTCTCTCTCTCTCTAACACACTCTGTTTCTTTTTCTAAGCTACAATGTGTTTAAGGAACCTTTAATATAAATTAATACGTGAAAATAAAGAGAGTAGCTAAAAGTAGTAAAGTAATTAAGAAAAGAAACAGTTATAATATATTTATATTATATAAACAGTACATAAGTATGTGGTATGTGTGTATGTGAGCATAAATTAACTAAGTAGTAGAAAAAAAAATAAAATATTATTAAATTAAAAAAAAATATAAATAAATAAAAAAAAATTAAACGCAAAAAAAACAAAGTATTGTATTTTACCGTTAAAAAGTGTAGAATATTGGAAAATTTTGAAATTTTCGAAAATACACTCATGATACGAAAATTCTATAAGATAGTTTCACTTCAAAATTTTTTACACTAAACGTATTTAGCTCAGCATTGTTTGATCTTACCACTTATAAGATATTCAACTTTGCGATTTATCAATTACTCTTGGAGTTGTCCCCTAAGTAGAAGCTATAATATTGAATGTACGTATGGATGTATGGAAATATATTTGTTTCAAAATATTAATTCAAGGCGGCAAAAGTAAAAAAATAAATTTCTTGCTGATTTTTATTATAAATAAGTTGGACACTTTTTTTTTTTTTTTTGTTTTGAAAACTCGATTTTTAAATCTCAAGATATATATTCAGCGAAATATCTCTAAAACTTTTGGAGTGGTTTGCATCCACACCCACATCTACATAGATACAGTAAAATTCAATAAGCTTTACATCCTCATGAAATCGATTAAATTTTTGGTTAGTCAAACGCTTCCCTTTCTGATAATTTCTTACAAATTAACAAAAGTTTTTATACATCATTCATGAAAGGCGCATATACGTTCAGGTTCACTATCAGGGTCGCTACAACGTTTTTTTTATGTGGGTGTTTCCTATCTTTTTAATATTGATATTAATTCTTTTTTTTTTTTTTGAGGGCGTATGAAATAATAAAGAAATATATTACAAAAAAAATATAAATAAAAAATATTATTTTTCTTACATATTCTCACAACCCCTACACTGCAGTATAATACACAATTTTTTGGAGTTCAAACTTTTCAGAAATATCTGAATTCTTTATATTTTTTTTGGTCGTAGATATTTTTTTTTAAGCGCAGCGGGTCGTAAGATGAGACGAAATACGTTTAGTTTGAGGTAACTATCAAGCCAACTGCGAAAAGAGAATGAAACTACTTTTAAATTATTATAAAATGATTCATTTGCGCCAATTTTTGACGATTGTGCTGAATTATGATTTCGTTTCAAGTGCGCAATTTTGCGATTCTCTAAATTTCTTTTAATAATATCGTATAGCAACATATTTTATACAAAATTGTTTATATAAATAATTTGAAATAATATTGAATAATACAAAAAATAACGCCAAAGACAATTTAGAAAATAACAGTTAAGATATAGACACATAAAAAATTTTTTAAAACCAAAATTCATGGTGAAATCAAGAAAATGTGTGATCGATTGAAATGTCAAACGCGTGATTTTGACAAAATCACCAGTGTTATTGGAAGTGGAAAATAGTTTTATAAATACTCCATTCAAGCAACGTTTTAAGGATAGCCCCCAAGATAAAGCTACTAGAGCTCTAAATATCCGTTAGATGCTCGTTCGTGGTTCAACTCAATTTTTTTTTAGAGCTTTTCAAGGAGTTTTTCGCCTTGCATAAATCAATTCATTCAAATTGAAATTATAGAAAAAAGTTCTGAGACAAAAGTAAAAATTTTTGGCTCGAAATACTCGAAAAATTTCGAATTATTGAAGGTCCGACTCAATAACTTTGAAACAAAATCTTGAGCTCTAAAGCTGCACATTTTTCAAACGTTTTGTCGTTGTGAAATTGATCTATTTCAACTAAAAATACAATGAAAAAATTCCTTCGATACAATTTAAGACAATATATATTCCAAGTCGGGTCGTTTAAAAAAAAAAAAAAAAAAAAAAAAAAAAAAAAAAAAAAAAAAAAAAAAANAAAAAAAAAAAAAAAAAAAAAAAAAAAAAAAAAAAAAAAAAAAAAAAAAAAAAAAAAAAAAAAAAAAAAAAAAAAAAAAAAAAAAAAAAAAAAAAAAAAAAAAAAAAAAAAAAAAAAAAAAAAAAAAAACGAACGAACTTTTTACTTGACCCAATATATTAAAAGATGTTAATTGTTTACATATTTTTACTATTTTATCATTATTTAAAAATTAGGGGAATTTTCTGTTTTGTTCACACTTTGTAATGATGCCACCATGACAAAAACTAAGCTTTTTTCAAAAATTATACAGAAAAATTACGCTATTAATGAAGTAGTTAATAGAGATGTGTTTTAAAAATAGTACTTTTTTGCTAAAGGATTATTTGTTTAATATTAGTAAATATTTTTGTGTGCTATTTCGCTAATGTTTATTAAGATTTTTTATGTGATTTTTTTTTATAAATATAATAATTACTGTGCCATTGATTAAACTGGAATTATTTTGCATAATTTTAGCGCAATTACAGTAGTTGTAAAAAAGGAAAAAAATAAAAATAAATATTTTTTATATTAATTATATAAATCGAGTAACCCCTCAGTAGTGTATATGATCTCTACTGATCTATGCCGATACTGCCATAATAAAAATAGTATAATATAAATATAAATAGTATACAAAGATTTTTTTTTTTTGATATATTGTTTAATATAAGAAACTTTAAAGTAGGAAAATAAGTCTGATTTATGCTTTAAGAAATATAAAAAATATATTAATATTTATTAGAGATGTGCAATTAATCGAAAATATTAACTGTTTAAACCAAAAGCAGTTAAATTAATTAAAAAATATTCATACTTGTTTAATTAATTAATTAATTATGTTTTAACTATGCATTTAATTAATGTATAAATTAAATAATTATTTAAGATAGTAATTGCTTTAAAGGCTTCAAAAATTGCATTTTTTTTAATTAATTCTGTAACTAAACAAGAATATATATTCAAAACTTCAATGGACAATTAGACATATTTTAGAAACTAGAGCAGTTTCAATGAACGAGCATTGAACAGAATTTGGAAACGCGTTTTCTCGAGTTTTCATTTTTACAAGTCTTGGAAAACGGTGTCGGTGATAGCATAAAGAATATATGTCCGATCGAAAAAAATTTAAGTTGGACAAATTTATTATTTAAACTTTTTTTTGCAACTTGTAGTTAATTAAAAAAATTGAGTTTATTTTTTACAAATTTAGAAAAAAATTGTAAATTTCCAACTTCTTTGGTATTTTTTAGTTCATATAGAAGAGACAATCATAAAAATTATTATTTGGTTCGACTGTTTCAGATGCATCGCACCGCCGCTACCACCGGCACCGTTTCACGAGTTCAGACTGCAGCCGCTTCAGGAAACTCATCACAATATTGGAAAATTCCATTACTTTTTTATACCAAAAATTGGTTTTTGAAGCTTAAATACAATACATTATTGTTCGGAAATTTCGTTTACCGCAATAATTTCAAAGGCAAGGTAAATATTGCTAAAAAAAATGTTTCTTTTTCGGTTCTATAGCTGACTACTGCCTCAAAGCAATTTACTTTAATCTTGAATTTAAAGTTAAAAAATTTTTTGTTGAAAAAAAAAATTCAAAACCGAAGAAAAATTTTTGCAAAAATCGATTTTTGTTTTATCTGTTTTTTTTCAAAGATTTTTTTCCGCTAAATGACAGGATAAAAATTATTTTTTGAAAGTCGAAATCGAAAAATCGATTTTTTTTGTAATAATTAAGACATAATTAATTGCAGTTTACTGAAAAAAATAAGTTAATACGATTTTTGTAAGGTAAAGAAATAATAAAAATTATTAATTGAAGAAATGCAAATCTCTAATATTTATAGATTGTTATTCAATAAGCATTCGCTACCGCTTACAACACGCTCAATTTAGACTGTCATAAAATTCCAACGAATCATCAGCATTAACATCAACTTCCAAATCAGCACAGCCAAGCGGCATAGCAAACTGTGCAACATCACCATCATCATACGCAGCAGGTGTATCGTCATCAGTATCAGCAATATCATTATCCGCAGCAGCATCATCATCTTCATCGACAACTGTCTCTTGCCCCCAATCACCCAACGCTAATTGCCGATAGTAGAAGCTGTTAGCGCTACCAGCGCTGGGGCTACTCTCCCTGCTTGGATTGTGCACCACCACCGAATTCAAACTCTCATCCTCATACTCATGCTCATCATCAGCAGCATCAATTGGCACATCCGTATGCTGCACGTGATGCACTTTGAATGCGCCAGCACTGCCAAGCTCATTTGACGTTTGTTTTTGGGCGCGTGTTAAAGCTGTGTTGCACCAAATTTGCATGTCTTGCGCTTTAGACGAGGAGCTTCCTTCAATTTCATTTTCCAACTCATCCTCTGCCTGCTCCCAGCTATCACTATAATCATCATCTTCATATTTAGCCAAAGCAATGCTTGTTGTCGGCTTTTGCTGCCAAACATTGATAACATCCGATTCAAACTCCTCCCTGATGGGATATACGGTACGTAGGTCAGCCAGCGCTAGACGTGTTTGCTTCTTCTCCAAGCTAAAATCATCAGCGGGCATCACCTCCTCGAGCAGTGAGTCGCTATAGCCATAATCGAAGGTGACCAAGAGATTATCACTACCGCGCTCCGAACTGCGGTACGATTCATTTGAATAGTAATAATCATAGCTGGGTATGCTCGTGCTGGCTTCCGGTAGTAGGGAGTTCATTTTTCGCACTTTTTGTTGCAGTAATTTTGTTTGTTCCTCCAACTCATAGGCGCGCACAAAATTACAGTTATCCTTACTTTTGCTCTTCAATTGCAAATTATCACCTAGCTGGGCGTTGCGCCACGGGTATGTAACAAGCGCTGTGCTACCAAAATTATCGCCAACACCGTTATTAATATGTTGAGTTTCTTGCTCTTCTCTTTGTTTGTACAACGCCTGCGTAAGTACCTGTTGCCATTGTTGTTGTCGCCAAGATGAACCCATCGCGGGGTTGTTGGTGATCTTCGCATTTGGCGTTGGCGGCGGCGGTTGTTCGTAATAAAGTAAGGAATGCTGTAAGCGTGCAAGAAAGGCCAAAGGATATTCGGAATTTTATAATTTTTTGTTTTTTCATTTTTGGTTTTGGAAATGGAGGGAGAAAGTAGAAAAATAAAAAAGCAAACAATTAATATACGAATAGTGGTAAAGTTAAGTATTTTTTTTTTTGGTGGTGTGAAAGGAATGCAAGGATGAAGCATCAATAAAAAGTAGGCATGTGATTGGTGCAGTTTGTGTGAGACGATTTTTTTTTTTTTTTTTTTGGAAATTTTATGAATGCATGCAAGTACGAGCTGTACAGGAAATTAGTAAAGATAATAGTTTAAAAATTTTCAACGTTAGTGACTCATACACAAATACAATTTGAAAGTTGGGCAATAAATTAAAAAATATTTAACACGGAATATTTAGCAAAAAAAAAAAATATTTACATAAAGTTTTTTTCATATACCGCGCACCCCAGCTGCAAGCACACACAAAAACTATTTATATTTTTACAACGGTTAAATTCAATTTTACAACAAAAGTCAGTATTTTAGTTAAGACACTCGTGGCTACTTTGTAGTTCAAGGTTTAAAATAGACGTACAATTTATGTGGCTAAACACATTTTTTATGGCAAATAAGTATTTATTCGAGATATCAAATATTTTAATATGTATTTTAATAATTTATGTTAATTTTAAATAAACTGTTTGTTACCTTGCTAAGCTGGAATTTGTAGAGGTAATATTTTAAGTGCAGCGTATGTAAATACTTCACCATTAAAGAGGGTCTCGGATGACATTTGAGGAACGAAATTTTTTTTTCAGAGAAAATGAGTATTTCATATTTATTATATATTATTTTAATATTTTATAATTATCTATAATATTATTATATTTTATTTTATTTTAATTTTTTGTAATTATCTATAATGATAGTTTATTATATTATTTCATTTTATTTTTTCTTTCACTTTTTAACTTTTTTTTTGCTTTCAATTTTTTTACTACTTTATTTTATATTTTAGTTTAATTGAAAAATTAAACTTTGCCTTTTACATTTTTACTTTACTTTATTTAATTCATTTTATCTATTTTTTTATTTTTATTTTACTATAGTTGATATAATTTTTTTGTTCATACCATTTACTAATTTTTATTTTTTTATTTTATTTTCAGATTTTCTTATTTCATTTTATTTTATTTTTTATTTTAATTTAATTTGGTTTTATTATAAGTTATTTTATTTCTGTTTATACTTCTTTATTTTACTTTATTTTCTACTATTTTATTTATTCATTTTTTTTCTTTGCTATATTTTTTTCTTTTGATATTTAACTTAATTTAATTTCTTACTATAATTTTAATTAATTTGCTTTATTTTTTCGGCGTTTAAATTGCTTTTTTTTATTTTATTAGCTTACATATTTTTACTTTATTTATGTACTTAATTTAATTTCATTTCATTTAATTTCATTTTATTTTTGATTTTATTTTTTAAATTTAATTTTCTTTTGATTTTTTTCTACTTAATTTTATATTTTAACATAATAATTTAATTGATAATTTAATTTTTTAACTTTTGGTTTTTATATTTTTATTTAAATTTCATTTTGTTTTTGTTTTTTTTAATTTGCATATTTTTTACACTACATAATTATATTTTGAACGTTATTTTATTAAATTTTATTTTACTTAATTTTTAAATTTAATTTAATTTTATTCCACTTAACTATTTATTTTTATATTTATTTCCCTTTTCCATTTAGCTTTTTTAATTTAATTTTTTTTTACCTTATATTACCTTATATTAAAATTAAGATAATTAAAATTTAATAAGGTAAAATAAAATAAATTAAAAAAAATTAGTTTAAAAAAAGGAATAAATACAAATAAATACAATAAAAAAATATAATTATTCAACTATGTGCGTTTATAGTTGAATAATTATATTTTTTTATTGTATTTATTTGTATTTATTCCTTTTTTTAAATTAATTTTTTTAAAATTTATTTTATTTTACCTTATTAAATTTTAATTATCTTAATTTTATTTTTCTTTGTTTGATTTTAAATTTATTTATTTTTTGCTTTTTTAATTTTTCATTTTTTTAAATGCATATAAGGTCCTTTTTTTACCTTATTTTCACTTTATTTTATTTTTATTTCTTATATTTTTAATTATTTTTTAAATTTTTTATTTTTTATTTCTTACATTTTTTGTTATTATTTTTTACATTTTTTTTTACTTTTTACACTTTTGTATTTTATTTTTTACATTTTTTGATTTTTATTTCTTACAATTTTTATTATTATTTTTTACTTTTTACACTTTTTTATTTTAATTTTTACAATTTGTAATTTTATCTTTTTCTTCATTTTATTCCAATTTTGTAACTAACTTAATTTATATCACTTCAAGCTATTTTTTTTTATTTTATTTTGTTTTTGATTTAATTTAATATTTCCTTTGATTAAATTTTTTAATTGATTTTGCTCTATTTTACTTTTATGTTTAATTTAATTTTATTTTATGTTTCTTTATTTTTAGTTTAATTACATTTTTACTGTTATTTATTATTATTATTATTTTTTTATTGCATTTTTTGTATATTTTATTTATTGTATATTTTATTTCATCTTATTCTAATTTTAATTTAATTATATTCAATTTTATTTAATATTTTATTTTTTAATATATTTTTTTTATTGTAACTAATTTATTTTTTTTTTTTTTTTTCATTTAACTTTTTTTCCCCAGAAAACTCAATTATTTTTGAGTTAAGATATTTTGTTAGCTGATGGCAACTATGAAGTGGTCCATAAAACCCTGAAAGAGCTTTAAGGGTGCAATCGCGCTGATTTTAATTGAATAGTCGATTCTTTAACCATCTAAAGCCTGAGATGACACTGTGATATGTAAATATGTGCATATATATTATATATTTCGGTTTTGAAACGAGTTTTGTACTGACTTGAAATTTTATATTAATTTTTTTTTTTAAATTTAATTAACAAAATGATATAGTGGTAACTGCGAATTGAAAACATTTCTAGTAATTTAGGGGATTAATTGGTTACTTTATTTAAAGGATCACAAGATTTCAAAATTTTTAAATGTTTTTTTTTTTTTGGCCTTTTCTTTAGTATCTTAGGTGTATTTGTAAGGCCTTGTGAATACCCATAATTTTAAAATCGTGTAAGTTTAAGTGTATTTTTTTGGTAATAAATAAAATGCTACAACTACATGTGTGTGTTTAGAAAAGTATTCGGGTTGGGGACACCAAACTGAGACAGTGAAGGAAAGAAATTGTAGAGCCAAAAGAAGAAGGGTAAACAAAATTAATAGAAAAAAATGGATTTATACATATAAGTGTGGGTTTATGTGTGTGAATTTAATATTAATTTAAAAAAAAAACTGCTTTTACTAAAAACTACGAACGCAACATCACAACTATGAAAAGAACCAAAAGAAAAAATACAATATCAAACAAAAAAAAAATAAGTGTGAATGCCAAAAGTAAACTAAAGCAAACTACAGGAAAAACAAAAAAAAAGCAAAAGAGACATCAAAACTTACGTAACGAAAACGAAACTTACGCGAAAAACTTTTTGGTTTCAATACGGCAGGAGTGATGAATATACGAGTACGAGTATGTGAACGGGATAACAGGAAGCATAGTGTAGGAAGACAAGGCACAGGCAGGCAAGGAGTTACCTCTTTCTCTATGACATTTGTTGTATTTGCTTTTTACCAGCATTTTGTGCCTGACAAAACGCATAAAAAACAACAACAAACGCACAAATGTTTTGCTCCAGGGTGGACCTAATTGTTTTCTGCTGGCTTTGAAGAAACTGGAGCGTTGCTTTATATCGACTGTTGATGCTTTTGACGCATTTACGTACTGCCCTCATGGCTCTCATGGTTAATCCCTTGACGCTTTGGGCAATTTCCTTCGACTGCTGCGGTTGTATTTGTTCGCATGCAACTTTGTATGTGTTTGAGCGTTTTTTTTTTTTACTTTTCCATATAAAGTTTCAGTTGCTTAGCTTTAGCATGCATTTTTTATTATTATTTTTATCAATAATATTTTTTATTATTTGTTTACTGTCAATTTCATTTTAATTGGAAAATATTTTATCCATATATATGTATATTCATACATTCGTAATATCTATTAATTTTTTTTTTTAGTATCATGGTAACCTCAATCCATTTTATTTACTCATATTACACATAGCAAAACTTTTTATATATATTTATGTTTTAGTGGCATTCGTTTATTTCGATTCGAACGATTTATTATGTGTCTTTTGCATGCAATGAACGTCTGTGCATTGTTATTTCATACAGAGCATATACATTCATGTTTAGAAGTATATAATTTTTAAGAGTTGAATTGACCATGTTGCAAATTGGTGGTGTTGTTGTTGTTGTTGTTGTTGTTCATAACAATGTTTGCAGCAGTATTCGAATTTTATTTGGTTGTTGTAACAGTGATGATGTTGATGTTGTTGTTGTTGTTGTCAGGCGGGAGCACAATACATAGTATATATTTCATTAATAAGAATTTATTTAACATTTTTCTAAATTAATTTTAAAAAATGTCGCTTCCTTAACTTCTAGTTTCATTCCAAATTATTTTCCTACATTTTTTAAGGTTTTTTTTGCATTAGTAGTCGAGATTGTTCATATTTTATTTATTGCTTCAATCTTATAAAATTTCGATTAGATATATTTAATTTAGTAGTTTTGTTTTTTTACAATTTTTAGTATCGTAGTTTTTTTTTTTTTACAAGCATGCAAAGGGTTAGCGACGTCAAGTAAAAAATAGAATTAAATGTTAACGAGTAGAGAAAAAAGACATAAGAAGAATAATAATTAATGAAAAGATATAATTGATCAGTATTATCTAAGTTAGTTCAGCAGAGTATATTCAAGTAGAGATTATATTGTAGTATATTATGGGTTAAATAACTTTTAGCAATTTAATAAAAATGTCTAAAAAAAAATACTAAAAATATTGCATTAAAAAATTAATTAAAAATAAAATTAATTTTTTTACGTAAAAATATTAAAAAAAATTAATACACGCCCAAACAAATAATTTTGGAAATATATTTCTAAAAACCATAAAAATTTTGCTTTAAAAAAAGTAACAAAATTTCCACATTATTTTTCATAATTTTTTTTTTTTTTTTGATAAAAAATATTTAAAAAATTAATACACTTTTAAGCAAATAAAAATATATATTTTTTTCAAACTTAATGGTATCTAAAATTAACATTTATAGAAAAATTTAATGAAAAAATGATATTTTAACTTTTGAGAGCTTAGTTATTTTACACAAAAAAAAAAAAAAAAAAAAAAAAAATTGTAAATGTGATTTTTAGTTTTTATTATTTTTCTTTTATTATTGTCTCAAATAATTTATAATAAAAAATATTTTATACCAAGAACTGTTTTCGGGTTTTTTTTCTTCAATTTTAATTGTCTGAAAACAGTTATAAATAATTAAAAATGTTTATATATATAACTGCTTTACATAAGAAAAAGGTAATGCGTTTTTAATTTTTTTTATTACTTACAATTAGTTTTAAGCGAAAAAAATTCTTTTTGAAACACATTTTTTGAAAAAAAAAAAAAACAATTTAATATAAACGATAAACATGTCTAAATGATTCTTAAATTTATGTTTCCTAAAATTATTTTCAAGAAAAAATATTAAAATACCTTTCTCTAAGAAAGTAACTTCGAAATTTATGATTTATACTTTTTTAATACATATTTGTAGCTGGTAACGCATTGTTAAACTTTTTTACTCAAAAGTTAATTTTAAACAAACAAATGTGGAAAAAAAAATTATTATAGTTGCTTAAACCGAAAACTAATGGGTGTTGAAGTTTTTATTTCTTAAATAAATTTTATTTTTTTTGAAAAAAACCTCAAAATTTTAGTTTTAAATTTTTTTTTTTTTTTTTTTTTTTTTTTTTGAAAAAAATTATAAATGCAACAGTTTTAAGTAAAAAAATTGGTATCGCGTTTTTCAACTTTTTTCTCAAAAATTAGTTTTAAGCGTAAAAAAATGTATATATTTATTTGAAAAAATAGAAGAATTTATTTTAATTGTTTTAACTAAGAAATATTGCTAATGATATTAAAATTTGTATTTTCTAAAATTATTTTCGAGCAAAAAAATTAAAATAATTTCATTTTAAGAAATAAATTAGAGAAATTTAATTTTTAAATTATTGAATTCCCTAAAATGACTTTTTTTTATCAAGAATAATTTTTTTTTCTTGGTATAAAAAATTTTAAAAAACATTTTTATATATATATATATATTTTTTGGAGTTGAATATATTCAAAGATTAAAGTTAAACAATTAATAAAAACGGTATATAATTTAGCTGGCAAGTTTTTTTATATTTAATTTTACGCTGATTCTGTAGCACAAATTCTTTTGTTATTTGCTTCGTTAGTAAGTGCATTTGGCAAGTGAACGCGACTGATATGCTACCATGATATTTAAAGTGAAGTTTATGAAATTTGTTTTTTTTTTATAAAGGACTGTATTAACAACTTGCAATGAAAAGCTCTATATGTCAACACTGAATTTGGATTATTATGGTATGACATGGAAACTGATTATTATAATGGTTTGCCAAGAGAGAAGCACGAACATACGTACGTGAAAAGAAATGTTGTAGTGAAAAATTTGATATTTAAATTTTTATAAATATGATGTGACTCTGTTGAAGTCGCTTGATATTTACTCCTTTGCGTCTAGATGCTGAGTTATGGGTTTTAATGATTTTTTTACCTTCATATAGTTTCACTACATTTAGGTTTCAAAGAAATATGTGCTCTGGGCAAGATATAACATGAGTTTTTTGTTCAAAAAATTGTATTTTTTATCTTTTATGAAGACATACACACACAAAACCAATATAAAATTAATGAAAAAGTTAAAAAATATACCCATTCCATACTAAAAAAAATACAACTGTACACACACGCAAATCACATATGAATATTGTTGAATTTTCCGGTTCGAAAATATAATATATAAAATTCGGTTAACCTTACGTACATACATATATGAGAAACGAAAAAAAAAAACAAAATATATAAAAAAATTGAACAAACATTTTTAATACACAAAAATTTTTAATATTTTTTTATTAATTATTATTTATATAAATTACTAATGACAGCATAAAATTAGGATGAGTAGTATAAACAAACAAAAAACTAAAATGCTTATATATGTAAATTTATATATAGATGTGTTACACTAACAACACCGGCAAGTAGGTATTTAACTTAAAGAAAAGACGAGCATAAGTAAATTTACATATATATATATATATATATTTTTCTTCAATAAACCCATAAGTTTGATATTCCTTTTTTTTAGTTAACATATTTTACATTAGTTTGTATATATGTAGAAGCATTAAAATTAAGCGCTATTAATTTAAAAAAATGATAATGAATATGATAAATCTTAAAACAAAAAAAAAAATGCATATACATAATAATAATGTTGACATTGAATTAACAAGCTAATTCGTTAAATGATGTTAAATTATATTAAATACATACAATAATACATTTTTTGTTTGTTTATATATGTATATGTACGAGTATAAGCAAAAATAAGTATATAATTTTGCTTAGCGAGCAAAAAAAAATATTACTAATATAAATTAAGTTGAATTAAAAAAAAAATACATCCTTATGCCTATGCTATTTTACAAATGACTGCCATTGTTGGGTGTATTATTTATTTTAATTTTTTTTTTTTAATTAATTGAAAGAAATATCGCTAACACAGTGAGCAATTTGCTATTTCTTCGCGTATATGTTTGGAGTTTATTGAAGAAAAAATAATGCTTTTAAATTTCAATTACATATGTATGACTGTGTGCGTGATTAAAATATTTATAAACATTTTTGGTTATTGATTAAGGCCGGAAAATAGATTTACTTTAAGAAACAGGTAAAGTGAGCCCATAACATTGCCTTGAAAACGTGTAAAACAAAAGTTTATAAAATCCGAGATAGTAGCACAACGCAATTAGAAAATTTTTGGATAATACGATATGTGAGAATTTTTCTTGACAACACAATAAATGTTTCATAGAAACATTTTTCTAGCGGTTTTTTTCGAAAACTAACTTTTTAGATATAATAAATTAGAGAATATTTAGACGAAATGCTTCAATATTTTTTGGAATATTCTTAAAAGCATAAACAGGTATTTGAACCTCAAGTTTTCTATAATTCTTGTCTGCTTTATGTCTCGAAAATATTGGTTTCAAAAAATAAATAGTGAAAATTCAACTTTTTCAGCTTTTAATGGCATTAGCAAGCGATTATCCGCTACTCATTTATATTTATGAATGAGTGAGATTATCAGTGACGTCTCAATAGTAGACATATATACTTGAAAAACAATTAAAAACCAACAGCTAAGACATTAAATAAGCCACTTTTAAGTTTAGAACAAATTTAGCTGTATCTTTACAGAATTTAATCGCAACTTTTGCTTTTCATATTGCATAAATGTTTTAAGCTGCACTAACTAACTTGAAGATTTCAAATAATTGACAAGTTTGAGCTTTTACAAAAACGTTAGAAAACTCGCTTTCTATCTTGGCATTGAAACGATGTTCAATTTTCAATATTAAAGTAACACAAAACATAATATTTAAATGGGTTTTTTAATTTTATCAGCAATTACTGTCGACAAACTTTTCATGAATTCTTTCCAAAATACTAAAAAGAATTAAAATTTTGGATTTCATATCTTACTTTTAGCTGTTATGCAAAACAAACACTTTCAAGTATTTCCAAACCGAAAAATGTTAATGTGTTCCCGAAAACAAAACATGCAATCTGCACACCAGTGCTCTTAATACATTTAATTTACAATTTAATGCAGATGTCTTAAAAAATTTTTATAAATGTATGAATGTAGATATGTATGTTTGTTGTTATGACTGTTAAATTGCCAATGAATTTATGAGTTATGTGAGTACGTAATGATTATTTATTATTAACGAGACACTTCAAACTTCATACAGAGGGGATAGAGAGAGAGAGAAAGAGAGACAAAAAATTAAAGAAAATAATTTTTGGAAAGTTAGCACATTTACGCCATTATTAAAACAAAAAAAAGTGTTTTTTTTACCTTAAATTAGTTTTAAATTAGATTTTTAATCGTTATTTTCACACAATTTGTGTTTTTTTTTTTGTCAGTACTAAATGACTTTCAATGTACATTTCGGCTTTAGCTTAGTAAAATTACTGTATATGCGGCATTTAAGTATGTATGACTCTGTGTTAACGTGTTATGTATGATTCTATGTATGCGTATGTGTACGAATATGTGTGGCGCAAATGTTGGTAAAAGTATAAGGTTAGCATTAAAAATGTTGCTTTTCTTCCTCTTACTACTTTATTGTTATTAATAATTCTTCTTTTGTTGTTTATTGTTGCGTAATAATGCTATGCGTATTTACGTATGTTGTATGTGGTATTGATGCGTTTACGTAACAATTATCTACTAAATGTATGTTTGTATGTATGTAATAGCATGTAGCTTCTTTTGTTTTTTAACGAACAGCGTTCAGCACAGCTTAGTACTAATGCATGTTTGCTGCTTCTTCTTATTCTTCTTCTTCTTCATATCCTTTTAGCTTTACTTGCGTTGCTGCTTTTTTGCTTGCTTTTGATTGCGTTTCAATTTTTTGTTTTCGAAATTTTTAGATTTTAATTTTTAATTTATTTTAATTTTTATACTAGTTTTATTAATATTAATCGATTATTATTTCTATTTCTTTTAGATTTTAAGCCAACCCAAAAAAGTCGATTTTAATGTGCGTACCTTGCCACTATCGCTGTCGCTAGCCTGCTGGTGTTGCTGTTGCTGCTGCTGTTGTTGCTCCCCATCTTGTGACTGAGAGCGACTCGCAATACGCGCCCCCACCACCGAAGCACTGCTAAATCGACGCACTGTCGCACTGCTGTTCACCACACTTTGCCCAGCACCTGCTGAGCTAGTCGCCGTTGCATTGCCGCCAGTGGCGCGTCGTAGAAACTGTTGCGTACCATAATTACTCGTACTGAATTGTGTATCCTTGCGCAATGTTGCATTTATATGCGCTGCTATGGCGCTCGGCTTTGGCGTACTGCTGACAATGTAGTTGCCCGTGAGCGCTGTTGGTGATGGCGATGTTAGTACCGTCGAATGGTTATTGTTGTTGTTGTTGTTGTGGTTGCTGCTGCTACATGTTGTATATGCCGACATTGTGGGTGATGTACAAGAAACATCACTACCACCAGCACCATTACTACTGACATTCGAATGGTGATTATGCTGATGTACCCGCGATAGTGAATCCAAATGACGTACACGTGATGTGAGCGATTCACGTTTTAATTTCGGTAATGGAGAGTTTTGTAAAATTCTCGGGGACGGAGTTGGTGGTGTCGGTGTTGTCGCATGTGCATGTGCACCAATTGGCGATTTCGACGAGGTAGCGTGTGACAAGTGATGCGTCGCCAATGGTATGGAAGAAGATGTCGAGCTGCGACTTGTATTCGTACTTAACGATGAGTTGTTGTTGTCTTTACGTATACTTTGTGCGGAATCAGCACGTTTCAGACTGTTTGGTGATTTGCTGTATAACAAATTGCCGGTGCTGCGACACAGCGATGACTTGCTCGACGAATTGGAGGCGGCGTAGGTGTGGGTAGAAGGTGGCGAACGGCCGGCCGTAGATGGGCGACCACTTGGTGGTTTGCCTGTGGGGAAATGAGAAATAAATTCATAAAATATGTTTGAAAAAAAAAAGAATTATTATGGTCAGAATCAAAGAATCAGAGAGTAGACCAAACAAAAGCTTTAAAGTAGTATTTTACAGTACAATGTTAATGAGAGTCTTTACACTGAACTCCTTACGTTTCGAGATGATTTTTCAAAGAATTTATAATCCAAACATTTCCGAAGCTTTCTATTTGTGGTAAGTAAAATTTTCGTTTTTAAAAAAACATTTGTATTATAGCTGTCATTCGTTTTGCCGTCTTGTTTTGTGTGAGCAATAATTCAAAATATCATTTTTCAGAACTCTGTAAATTATGATCAGTTCTCTCCTTCAATCACAAACTTCACTTTTACTCACCCGCAAAATATGCCGCCGCTTTACTACCCGGCAAGGGTATCTTACTAGGTTTACTGGCCACACCAGCTTTCTTGCCACGCACTACGCTATCAAATGGGCTCAAACCACCAACACTGGCGCTCATCAAATGGCTAACCGTCGTCTGTATATCGCCACTCTCTGGCAACTCATGTTCATGTGCCGATTCTGTGCTACTACTATGTTGTTGTAATTCGTCCATTGGCAGGTGGACCATTGCTTTCATGCTTGGTGTGGAAATTTGCGTCAAATGCGGTGCAGGCATTTGACCAACAGTCGTCGTGAAAGCTTTAGTCGTAGTAGTAGGTGTCGTCGTTGAAATGGGTGTTGCCGAGCGTAAATCACTATAATTTAATATATCACTAGCGCCACTGCCTAAGCCACGCCTGCTCATCATCAATGTGGTGGAAGCAGAAGAGCGATTAGTTTCGTAATCATTTTGCGAATGCAAGTAGGAATTAGTGGGCGCACCACTGCTAGGTGTGACCGAGTGTATGCGTGACTCGAGTACGCGTAGTTGGGCTTTGGTGCCTTCCAACTCGATGTTCTTTTCTTCCAGCTATAAAATGGAAAACAAACGGTTGATAAGTAAGATGTATAAAAACTTTGGTAAAGAATTTAAATGGAAACTCACCTGAAAACGCAAATCTTCCACATCATCTTTTGATTTATCCAGTCTTTTGGTCAAATGAGTTTTGGACTTATTGGCCGTGTCAAGTTTTTGCATCAGTACCTTATGTAGGAAAAGAAAAAATATATATATTCATGGCATTACATTACCTTTTAAGTTCCCTTTCTCACCTGATTTTGCACAGTAAGCGTCAGCAGATGCCTTTGTAACTCAACAACACTCGTTTCGAGCAGAATTGCGGTAAATCGCTTTGAATCAATCAAGCGACTTTTGCTATAACGCCCGCCTGGTGTACTGACAATGCCATCCAGACGTCCTAATTGTTGTTGCTGCTGCTGCTGATACTCGTTATGCTCAGCTCGCTGCTGTTTACTATCACTGCCTGCGCTTTGATGGAATGCAATGTGTATATCCTCGACTGGAGGTGCTCGGTGACTTTGTTGCTGCTGTTGCTGCTTCTGCTGCTGCTGCTGATCGATCACCACCACTGGCTGGAATGTATGTTGACGCCGACTTTGTGCGGCCGTCAATGTGCTAGTGTTGGCGGCGGCTTCAAAAGGCTGCGCTGAGGTGCCGCTGCCTGTGGATAGCACCGTTGTGGCGGAGGATAGGAAATTGCGTTGACTCGAATAATCGGATTGACTGCAAGGAAGAGAAGAAATGTGATATGATATGAAAATTATAGCAAAATTTATAAAATAAAACTTTTCTGTGGTAGCTCCATGCAGCCCAGATACAACGTTCAAACTACTACTTTTTATATGTTTAGTAGGAGTTTCAACTTCTTTACCCACCTTGATGAGCTTTTGCTTTGGAACTGTTGTGGTTGTTGTTGTAGCAACTGCATTTGCTGCACACGCGCACTCAAATCGAGCTTCTGCGCCATCGCCAACTTCAACTGCTCCTCAAGATCCTTTTTCACGCTTATCAACTCCTCCACCTGATCGTTCATTTTCGCAGCCTTAATGCGTCCTGTCAAGGTTTCTGCCTCCATTTCGGCCAACTTATCCAACAAACGGTCGCGCTCTTTACGCAACTGTTTGATATCCTCCTTATTGAGGCGTTCCACATGCTCGCGGAATGTTTTCGGCGTGAGACCGGCACCGTTGACTGTACTATTACTGCTGACACTGCTGCTGGACTTGGCCAGTACCGATGCGCTTCGTGTTGCTGAAGCGGAAATTTCATTTGCTGCTATCACTGTTGTTGTGGAGTCATCTGCTAAATTGTTGTTGTTGGTGGCTGTGGTAGCATTTAAATTGCTGCTGTTGACGCTACGAAGATTTTGCCTTTCATACTGTTGCAACTGATCCATTTCTTCACGTAAACGATTTGATTTTCGATGTATGACATCGAGCAAATTGAGTAGCTCATCATCGGATTCGTGGCAGGAGAGACGATTCAGTGCTGCGGGTCCCGTTATAGCACCATTTGTAGACGAAGCGCTATGGCCCTCCTTGGAGGAACTTGTCTCTGTGGAGAAACCGGAATCCTGTACAACGCTGCCGTTGTTATTCTCTCCGCTCTTTGGCTCTTTTTTGCCGCTATGTGAGTTACTGCGACTACGCGTCAATGACGATGAGGACAATTCGCCGACTGCGACGCCTGCAGCAACACCAGCTGCTGCTGTTGCAGCGCCTGTCGCTGCCGGTATGGACGGTTCTTTCTGCGAAATTTTACGCTTCAAACGTATACCAGGCTCCCAATCGCGTCTAAAGGGTAAGGGAAAAGTAAATTAGCATAATAAATATTTTACTACTAATGTATCATAAAAAAACTTACCTCGATACTAACGACGCATTCGCTATGCCGCCACTGCCGCTGGTACTCCCAAGAGCCGCTACAGTCCCCACACCCACAGTGTTGTTTATCAAAGCGCCACCGGCCGCATTCGTTACGGTCGTCGCGGAAGCAGATGACATAGAGGCCATTTTATGCTTGAGATCTGGAAATGTTTCGATGACCAGATCACGAAATTCCAACAATGCGCCAACTTCATGCTGCAACTCCTGCAGTGACTTGGTTTGCTCGCTCTGTATGTGATGATGGCTGCTGCTATGATGCAGCGGATAATTATTGCTGTACGGCGTTACGGCATGATGGCCGACCAAATTCAGATGCGGATGGTGCGCGTGCAAATTAGCGAGGTGTTGCTGATATGAGCCGACAACAGTGACGGCCGGTGTACTGCCACTTATCGCTGTGGCTGTATTGCTGCTGCTGCCGTTCACCATTAGGTGATGATGGCCACCGCCAATACCAAGTGGACTAACGATGCCGTTGCTACTGGCGCTGTTACCGCTGCCACCACCACCACTGCCATTCATAATGGGCAGACAGTCCATGGCGCCAATAATAGCAGTTGTTGTGCCAAAGCCGCTGCTGCTGTTGTTCGTAGGGCAGAGTGCAAGGTCATAGGTGTCATTCTGAAAAGATAAAAACCAATAAGATTCTTTTTAGTTGTACAATTAAAATATAAAAATACCATTTTAGGGTATTTCGAAATTTTTCAAATGCTTTTATGAATATTCTATTTAATTTTTATTTAATTTATTTTATTTTATAATAATATATTTTATTTCATTTTCTATATTTTGCCTTTTTTTACTTTTACTTTATTTTTTATATACCATTTTATGATTTATAATTCGTTTTATTTTTTAATTTTAATTTAGTTTTTATACTTCATTTAAATTTTTTTTTCTTTATTATATATTTTATTTATTGATCTGTTTTAGCTGTTTTACTTATTTTATTTATTTTAATTTAATTTATTTTATCTCATTGTATTTTATTTTATTTCAATTTATTTTAATTTGTCTAATTTAATTTCTTTATTTTTAATATTTTATTTCCTATATTATTTTTTAATATTATTTTTTAAATCGCCTTATGTTTTAATTTAATTTTATTTTTTATTTAGTTTATGTTGTTCCATTTCATTTAATTATAATTTCAATTTAATTTATTGTATTTCATTTTAATTTATTTTTTTCTTTTATTTTATTTATATTATTTTATTTTTTCATTTATATTTCAGTTTAGTTTAATTTATTTTTTACTTACTAATTTTTTATTTTATTTTATTATATTTTATTTTATTTTATTTTATTTTATTTTATTTTTTTTAACTTATTTTATTTTAATTTATTTTATTTTATTATTTTTTAGTTTATTTTATTATATTTATTTAATTTTTTACTTCATTTTTTATTTTATTTTATTTTAAACTTTACTTTTTATTTTATTTTATTTTTCTTTGTTTTAGTTTACTTTACTTCATTTTATTTTATTTTGTTACTTTTTCTTATTTTTTATCTTGTTTACTTTTATATTTTTTTATTGAATTTTATATATATTTTTTTTATTTCACTTTTTATTATATATTTTTTTAAATTTAATTCACTTTATTCCTTTTTTAATGAGAAAGTTCATCCAAATAAAAAAAATATTTCATTAAATTTCTAAAGCTAAAAGTTTAAATACAAATTTTCAATCGCCCTAATGCACGTACACTTTTAAAGATTTTTTCTGTTTATCACAATTCTTTTATATTTTTTTTAAACAGAATTATTGCGGTAATTGCTGATGTCCATTTTTGGTAAAAAATATTTTTTGTTTTTTTTTTACAAATAATTAATTACAGCATTCTATTGATAATTGTCAACATAAACACCACCCACGATTGTAGTATGTATATATAGGTATATGTACTTCTCAGCATTGAGTATCCGTGGTCTGTATGTATGTGGGTAAAATTGCTAATCGCTCAAGACTTCACCACTCACTCACTGCTTAGTCAACTAACAATCTAAACCATCGACTGGCAATCTATGAACCAGCAAAATAAAATGCCTTTCCAAAGTGAACATTTGTGTGTATGCACATACATACATATATACTATTATATCTGCTGGCTTTTCGTCTAAGAATGAGCAATTCTAATGTGATTGAAATTGATACTTAGCTGCGACGAACAAACAATATCGATATGGGTGTGCAAAAAGGTGTTTGTGTGTAGAATACATATGTATATGCATATATATATATGCACATGCAATTGCGACAGCAGCTGGTGGGTGTCACCAAGTAAATTTGCCAGTAATTGGCACTGCCACCTTAATTGCAGTAAATAATCGACAAAGTGAGTAAGTAATGGAGTGAGGAACTTTATTCAATTATGTATGTTTTTTCACTTATTATCTAAGCACATTTATGTGTGTGTGTCTAAAGAGTGCTAATGAGAAAATAAACTTCAATAAAAATTAAAAGAAAAAAAAAATAAATGGGCTTTGCATTTGATAAAAAAAATAGCCAAAAGCTGAATTTAAATATATTTTATGAAAATACAAATATACATGTATGTACGTACATATATTGAAATAAACGCGTGAGCATATTTATTGAACATTACATATAAACTTTCTAATTAATAACTCTCACTTTCAACTAACTCACTTAACAAAGTTGAATTCAAAGCTAAAGCCGATCAACATAATTTGCTTGAGCATGTAATATACTGGTATGTATGTGTGTGCGTAATGTGAAATATGAAGCCAATTACATATGAGAGTATGAAGAAAATTCATGAAAGACGCATAGTAATGCAAAGCAAGTTGGATTTGAGTAGAAATTGCAATTGTAGGGAATTTAATTGTAAGAAACGAAGAAAATTACATGGAGAAATTTATGAGTGAACTTTATGAGTGAACATATGAATTGAAAAACTCGAAAAAAAAAAATAAAATGAAAGCAATTAAAAATAACTCCAAAACTTTAATGTAAGTTGCAAAGAACACATATCAAAAATTAAAAAAAAAATTCAAATAATGTGAATTTGTGATACATTCCAAGGCAAAAAATTAAAATCAATTGGAAAATATTTAAAAAAAATTAGCAAAAACCTAGAAAATTGTAAAATATGTTATTAAAATAAAAACAAATAAAATTTAAATAAAATAAATAAAAGTATCAAAGAAATTTTAAATTATAAAAACGTATGAAATAAATATTAATAAATATATTTGTAAGCGAAAACATATGCAAATACAATTAAAAAAAACTTCAAAAAATTAAAATATCTAAAATAAAATAAAAACATTAAAATTAAAGTAATAAGTAATACTCGTTAAATAAAGAATAACAAAAGAAAAACAAGTAACATAAAATAAAAATAAAAAATAATAATATAATAAAATAAAAATAAAAAAATAATAATATAAAAAAATAAAAATAGAATCGAATAAAATAATAACAAAAAAAGGATAAAACAATTTATAAAAGCATGCAAAAAAATTGTAAATGATAAATTCAATACAAAAAAAATTAATCCACTGATTTATTTACAAATTTTACTATTAATTGATATTTTAGATCAAGTTCACAATATGTGAAAAATGGTTATATGATAGATAGTTACTAAATACTCAAACAGATATATATAGGTATATAAATATACATATTTCATATACATACAAAATAATTGAATTTGTATCTAAATGTTATATGAGAAAAATAAGTGGAAACAAAAAAAAAATACATAGAAAAGTGAAAATAAAATAATTAATAAAGAGTATTAACTATCTAAAAAAAAAAAATAATGAACAACAAGATTTAAAAAAAATTAAAATAAAAGTTAAAAAAAAAATGAAAAAATTAAAAAAAATTTAAGAAAATTAAAAAAAAATTTAAAAGTTAAAAAATTTAAAAAAAAATTAAAAGTTAAAAAAAAATAAAAATTAAAAAAAAAATTAAAAATTATAAACTAAATAAAAAAATCAAATATAAAAAATAAAAAAACCTTATAAATCGAATAAGAAAATTAAAAAAATTGGAAATATACATACAAAATTATAAAAATATAACAAAAATGAAAATTCAAATGCTAAAGTATACATACACAACTATAAAAAAATATAAAATAAAAAATATTAAAAGAGAAATAAAGTATAAAAAGAACTATTGGAAAAGTAATATAAAACAACGAAAAGTACAATGAAGAATAAAAATAATAGTTACAAAAAAATAATAATAATACAAATATATAGTATGCAACTTCGCTGTCGCGCATACTCATTCATTGTATGATATCCTGTTATCACAACTTCATTTACTCAATACTTTGGGAATACAACACTTTTGGTGTTACCATTGACATTGATCCATTTCCCGGGGAGAGGAGAATAATCCGACTTTTTGAATAGGCCAGTCCTCGGCCTACTTTCCGGAAAGAAGAGTAGTTTTTTTTTGCCTTGCTCATATAAGCAAAAAGTCACTGATTCACAGAATTTCAAGTAAAAGGAACCATAAATAGGATATATTTTTAATAGGTCAGTGCTATGCCCACTCTCTGGAGAGAAGGGTAGTCTTTCTGTTAAACTTTGAAAAAGGTCACCTATGTACCGGATTTCAAGTAAATCAAACCATGAATAAGAATCAAACCACGAATAGGCAAGTCCCTGCTCTGCTTCTCGAAATTTTTTCTAATAAAAACTTTCCCAGGAATCATAGAAATAATCTTACGAAATTTTATGTCAATCGGTCAGTAAGTTTAGCTGGTTTTTGGGCATTATGGGATTTTTCCAAGCGTGCATAAGGTTTTTATATAAAAGAGAATAAAAAATAATATAGCCAGAGGAAAATCTTATATTTTCCAAATAAATCTTCTACTTTATAAAACCGAGCAAAAAAACTAAACCGTTTCTATTATTTTCTCCAACCTTATAAACATATGCAAAAAACCTTACTTCTTTATCACAATGTACATATATATGTATGTCGATGACAGTGTAGCCACACCCTTTCACCGTAGTGCATACATCATATAACAGTTATGTATATGAAAAATGCATTACTCATGCGTAGTGTAGACCAACAGTTGCCAATGTTCACACGTGAAATGGCAAAAATTTATTTTATAATTATTCATGATTTTCTCAAAGTTGGAAAATTTTTTGTTTATAAGTTTTCCCAATGTAAGTAAGTATGTAGACCATCTTTAAAAGACTCTTTAAATTAAGTAACTTTCATAAGAATACTCTTTTCTATGCATTCATGAATAGTTTAGTTAATCTGATATATGTATGTAAGCACTACATTTTCATATTGAATAAAAATATTCCTTAGTATTTTTGCGGTTTTCATATTCAATTACAACACTCGCATTGTAAGAAGCAAAAATAAATAAATTAAAGAAAAAAAAACCAAAACAAACGTAGTTTAACTCAACAAGAAATAAATAAATACAAATATATTTACATATCTACAAAAAAAATTAATAATGGATATGCAAATATTGAATAAAAAAGATGACATAAAAACTGAACCAGTTTAAACTTTTATTGTTATTTTTGTGTTTCGCTGTTACTTGGTACCACCAGCGCCAGCTGATTTGATTTACTTAACTGTTGACCCGATATGACTGTTC